TCCGTTGAATCGTTACTCTTTTTATTATTTTTCCCTTTTATCTTTTTCTTATTATTATTATTATTGTTGTTTGTACTGTTATTATTATTATTATTATTGTTGTTGTTGTTTGAAATGGTATTTGTATTTGTATTATTTGTTGTGTTTTCTTTTTTATTATTTGATTTTATTTCTTTTTGTGGTGTTGTTGTTAGTACAGTAGTTTTTGTATTATCTATTAAATTATTTATTGTGACTGTGGAGGTGGTTGAAGATGTTGATGGAGAAGTGGTGGCGGTAGTGTTGCTATTTACTATTGGTTGTTGTGTTGGTGAAGTAGGAATTTTTGGAGACGGTTGTTTTTCTACAATAGGTATTTCTAAACTGTCCCTGTTATCATTATTAGGTATTATAAAATTATCTTTAATTGTTGTTATAGGTGTATTTATTTTTGTGTTATTAATGTTGTTATTGGAATTATTGGTGGTGTTATTGGTGGTTGTATTTTTATTATTTTTTTTAATTGGATATATATAAAATTCATCAGGTAAAAATACCAAAGGAGAGATTGCTACGGCTTTCCAATGATCGGCTGTAAAATTACCAAATGAGACACATGAAATCGAATTTATTGATTCCTCTGTTAAATCGGTCATATCTGTTGCAACAAAACTTGAAATTGGTTCATTACTATTTAAAATTGAATTATTAATATTTTCAAAGTTTGTTTTATTTTCATGTTGTTGTAATTGTGGTTGTTCTTGTTTTTCTTGTTTTTGTTGTGGTTGTTCTTTTTCTTTTTCTTTTTCTTTTTCTTTTTCTTTTTCTTTTTCTTTTTCTTTTTCTTTTTCTTTTTCTTTTTCTTTTTCTTTTTCTTTTTCTTTTTCTTTTTCTTTTTCCTTTTCTTTTTCTTTTTCATTTTCTTTTTCCTTTTCTTTTTCTTTTTCTTTTTCTTTTTCTTTTTCATTTTCATTTTCTTGTTTTTTCTCTTGTGGTTTAAATGGTGCTAATTTTGTAAGCTGTGATTGTTTTTGGTATTGTGGTTGTAATGGTTGTTGATGTTGTGTGTATGATGGTTGTTGATAATATTTTTGTTGTGGTTGATAGTGATGATGTTGTATATGTGAAGCATAATGTTGTGGTTGATAATGAATATTATAACCATTATTCATTATACGATTATCAGTGGTGGTAATACCAACACTGTTGACATAGGAAAGATTATAGTTGTAGCTGTTATAATAATAGTTTTGATAATTATTATTATTAATACTATTTATATCTGAACTGTTTTCAAAAGAGCTCATATCTATAGCTGTATTATAATTGTCATTCTCATGACTATTTAAAATTTTATCTATATTATTATTTTTATTGTTTTGTGTTTCATTTATATTATTTTTATTATTACTATTTCTAAAATTTATATTATTATTATTTTTATAATTATTTGTATTATTATTATAATTATTTATATTATTATTATATGTATTATTATAATTATTATTATAATTATTATTATTATTATTATTATTTATGGTACCATTTGAACTTGTAGGTTTTTCAACCGATATACTATTGGCCGTTGTAGTATTATTTATATTATTTATTGTATTTGATGTATTTGTAGGTGTATTTGTATTTGTAAGTGTATGGGATGTATTTGTATTTGTATTTGTAGGTGTATTTGTATTTGTAGGTGTATTTGTATTTGTAGGTGTATTTGTATTTGTATTTGTAGATGTATTTGTATTTGTAGGTGTATTTGTATTTATAGGTGAGTTTATTTGTATTTTGTTATTGTGGTTTATAGAGTTTTGCTTTTTATTAGAACTATTATTTATTTGAGTACTATTATTTGAAGTATTATTATTGTTAATTTGCTTTTTTTTGTCATTACTAGGTTGCTGTTGCTTTTGCTTTATTTTATCTTGGTCTACCATTCTATTATAATTTTATTTCTTTATTAGGATTAATTTCAAATTACATAAGATGAAGGAGCAAGTGTGAGTGTTTATGGTAAGTTAATTGGAATGTTTTTTTTTTGTCTATTATATGAATGTGGTGTAAAAAATTAAAAAAGGAAGTGTATGAATTTATGTTGAAAAAAATAAAAAATTAAAAAAAAAAAAAAAAAAATAGAAAATTTTTTTTTTGAAAAAAAATAAAAAAAAAAAAATAAAAAAAAATTAAAAATATGATCATGGAATAAGAGAAAAAAAATAAAAAAAAATAAAATAAAAAAGTTTTAAAACAAATGAATAAAAATAATCGATTATTTTTATATATTTTTATTTTTTTTAAAAAAAAGTTAATTAATAAGATGATAGGTAAAAAAAAAAAAAAAAGATTATCCACTCTCTTGAATTTGTAAACACAATAGTTTCTCGTTTGGTGATTTTAGATATTGACTTAAATTATCGTCAGCAATATCAGTTTCATTCAAATCTTCATTTACAAAGAGATCACTATTATTTTTGAGATATTCATCCAATTCTATATCATTATAGTCTTTAAATCCTTCTAAAATGATTGATTCATCGATATTGTTTATGAGGAGTGTCTCAATTTCTGAGTCTTGTTTTTTTGATACCTTTGGATAGTATTTCTTATATTGTTGAAAGAATAGTTGATCATTTCGTGTAATATTTTTTCTATCATATTTTCCACTATAAACCAATCTATACTTTGCATGAATGACACGAAGTTTTCTTTCAATACTTTTATAGAGTGATAAAATATAAGATGGTGGAGGAGGGTTATTCGTTTGTGACAATATCATTTTTTTAAAATCTTTTCTGCCTTTTTTTGAACCCAATTGACTTTCACTATAGGATGATTCATTATCATTATCATAATCATCATCATCATCATCATCATCATCACCACAAGCAAACTCTGAAAGTGACATAAAACTAATTTCATCCTCACTACCACTATCCATTGACATATTGTTAACAGTATTGGAGACTGAATGTTCTTTTTTAAATCTTTTACTATTATTTACATTTGAATTTATATTTGTATTTACATTTGAATTTACATTTGAATTTACATTTGAATTAGCATTCTTTACTTTAATTTCGTTTAGATTCTCGTTGTCACCATCACTTCCACTTTCATCAACGTCATCATTTTCAATTTCTTGTTCTAATTTTGCTTCGTCATCATCATCATCATCATCATCATCATCATCATTATCATTATCGTCATGATCACTATTGTCATGATCACGACCATTATTATTATTATTATTATCATTATTATTTTCATCTTTTTTTAAGTTGGAATTTTTAATAAAAAAATCTTTTAATAATAATGGTACCCATTGATAAACATTTTTATCATTAACAAATGTTTTCAACATTGAATTATTATTTGCGTGAGCCAATAAATGACTTTCTAATTCCCTAACTCTTAAACGAGTTGCATGCAATGGTGCCATCATTTCAGTGTTTAAATCATTTAGAAAAGGTTGCATGGTAATTATAGTTTTAGATTTAGCCTTTGGTTTTCTTTTTTTTACTGGTGGTTGTATTAATGTTGTTATTTGAGAATTCTGAAGGAATGAACTTGCAACATCATTCTCTGCGTCATAGTGATTATTATTTGATAGTTTATGAAGTTGAGCAATATATAAACATGAACAATAGGTACTAGTTGGTGTTCTACCTTCAGCCAATCCACGTACTTTTGAGAATTTAACTAATTCAGATGCTAATCTTTTAATGGTTTCACATTCTTCACGTGTATAGAAATAAAGTTTACGTAGAATTTGTACACCTCTCTCTAAATAACCAAACTCTGGTAGAACTTCAACTTTTATACCTGCTGCACTTTGAATTTTCATTGATAGAACACCAATTGTATAATACTTTAAATTCAATCTTATACCAATATCCATTAGACATAAACCTTTATCCTCTTTTCTAGTAGCAATATGTGCCAATGCAGCACACACATATTCATACTTTCTATCAACTCTCTTTATCTTTTTCCAATTTGAATATGCTAAATAATAATGATTTCTCATTTGAGTTTTTGTACCTTGCCCTAACTTTAATAAATTACAAATAATATCTAATTTATTCTCAAACTTTTTTAAAAAAAATTTTTTGGTTAGAATTCATTATTTATATTATTATATAAATATATAGTTTTTATAATAAAATAAAAAGTACCTTTTCATGATATTCAGAAGAACTTGAATTTCTACTAAAGTATGTTCTTTTGCCATTATATTTTGATGATTCTCTTTCAACACTAACTTTATTAAAATCTTGTTGGTCGGATACCAATACAAATTCTTCTTGCACTGTTGCACAAATTGTACAAACAACAACATCTCCTTCATGTGCTAATTCTCCATTACATTGCTTGCATTTTTTTTCACTCATTATTATAAAAAAAAAATAGAAAAAAAAATAAAAAAATAAAAAAAAATTAAATGGTTAAAAAAAAAAAAAAAAAAAAAAAAAAAAAAAAAAAAAAAATTTTTTAAATAAAAATAAATTTATTAGAAAAAAAAAAAAAAAAAAAAAATTTCTCAATTTAAACTGAGAAAAAACTGAAAAAAATCTTAAAATTATACCACAAATCGACTGAATTTAAATAAAAAAAAAAAAAAAAAAAAAAAATTCTTCGTTTTATCATTCTTAAAAAAAAAAATTAAAAAAATTCACTAAAATTAAAACTAAATAAACACTTTAATTTTTTAATTATATTTACCAAGTTTAAATTTTTTTAATATTAAATTTTCTTTTCTTTCTTTTTTTTTTTTTTTTGAGGATTTACTTTGGTAAAAAATTTTTTTTTTTATATTTAAAAAAATTTTTTTTTATTTAGATTTATTGGTTTTTTTATAGTAAATATTGACAAATAATTTTTTTTAAAATTGGATAATACAGTTTAAGCTGTTTCTCCTTGGATAGAACCTTCTTCAAAATAAATTTTTTTCTTCCAAATTAAATTTTTTTTTCAAATAAATTCCTTCTAAACCGAATGGGATTTATTTAGAACTAGGTTCTATAGTGTAATGGTTAGCACATCAGACTCTGAAAATAAAGGAAGATATCTGAGAATCTGAGTTCGAGTCTCAGTAGGACCAAAATTTTTACTACCTTTTAGTAGGTCGTGGGTTCGACTCTTGGAACACCGCTGCGTCTAATCATAGGGTAAAAAAAACCGGGGGCTTAGCGTAGTGGTTCCACGCTGAATCATAAGCCTCTGTGGCCAAGACCTTGGGGTAAGAGTCTTGGTCATACCACGAAGTAACGTGGTCATAATTAAACCCTCATTATCGGAGGCTATACGTAGTGGTTCTGCCCTGTCTCCGTGGCCTTGGTTCGAGCCTTAGGTCATACCACGAAGTAACGTGGTCATAAATAACACACCTCATAATCAACCGGAAAAGCTCAACTTCCAAAAAACAACAACAACAAAAAAAAAACATGGTGATTAGAAATTCTAATCCCAATAATATTAAAAAAAAAAAAAAAAAAAAAAAATAGGTAAAAAAAAAAGGTTCGAACAAGAGACTCTTGTTTTCTACATAAAAAAAAAAACATCCCATATAAAAAATCCCTTTTCTTTTACTAAATTAAATCAAAAAAATTATAAAATATTCCACAACATTCAAAAAAAATTTAGTGATAATCAATTTCAAATTTCTTTATTTTTTTTAACGTTTTTAAAAAAAAATATGTTTTAACACTTTCCAAAAAAAAAAAAAAAAATATGTATTTGTTTATTTGGTAAAAAAAAAAAAATAAATAGATAGATTTTTAACTATACACCATTTTTTTTTTTTTTTTTTTTAGTTTTTTTTTCTATAAATTTTTTTTTTTTATCAGTTTAATATTATAAAAAAAATAATAATAAAAATAAATTTATATTAAAAAAAAAGATAAAGAATTTTAATAAGTACTAAAAAATGATTAACCATTTTGAAAATTTTAACCAATTAGCTGATAATGAAATAAGTGAAATTGTTAAAAAAAGACTTTTAGGTGTTAATACAATTGTTTATGCTTTCGATGGTTCAATTTTCTCAAATCAAAACTCAACCGATGGTAATAACGAAATTGTTTCAGATTCAAATATTTCATTTGAAAAATTATTGAATGATATGGTAATGATGTGTAAACATGGTATTAAAACCATTTGTTATCCAATGTGGAATTCATCAATTGATGAATTTAAAAGATCAAGTTATAATTTAAAATTCTTAAATAGTTTGAAAAAATTTATAGAATTGTTTGATAAAGAATCTTTTGTTAAATTATTTAAAGAAGTTGGAATTCGTATTAATTTCTATGGTGATTATAAATTATTATTAAAATGTGGTGATGGTGTTGAATCAAAATTATTAGAGAAATTCGAAATGATTATGAAACAAACCAAAGAAAACATCAATCATACAATTTTAATAGGTTTTAATATTGAACAACCTTCTGAAACAATTATTAATACAATCATTTCATATTATAATTCAAATGAAAATCGTGAACCAACCACTCAAGATTTAATTGAACATTATTATGGTGTTTTTGTTGATCCAGTTTCATTATATTTAGGTTCTGGTCGATTTTCAACTGATGGTAGACCAATTTTAATTTCTGATAAAGGTAATGAAGATTTATATTATACAATTTGTCCACATGAATTCTTATCTACTACTGGTGTAAGTTTTACTATTTTTTTTAAAAGTTTCTAATCAAATTGTTATTCAGGGTGATAAATTATTAAAATAATGATTTTTTTATTTATTTTTTTTTATAATTATAGTTTAGAAAAGTTTTATTTGATAAATTATTTTGTAGATCAATTGCAAATGCAAAAGAATATCAATTAAAAATTAAAGATATTAAATTGATGAAAGAATTTTATTTAAAAAATTGTGAAAATGTGATGGGTGTTGGTAATGTTAATTCAGCTGGCAATTATTGGTATCCAGATCCTCAAGTTGTTTTACCAAATAGCGATAATTAAAATTCTCCCTATAACATAAATGGGTTTTTATTTTTTTATTTTATAAAAAAAAAAAGTAAATTAGAAAAAATAATAATATAAAAAATAAATAAATAAAATAATAAATAAATCAACCAAAAGTATATTTTTTTTCTTTTGAAAAAAAATTATTGAATTTGATTATAATTAATAAATGTAAAGGTTATGATTGAATTAAATTTACAATTTGGATTTATTAAAACTTAAAAGATTTTTTTTTTTCAAAAAGAAAAAAAAAAAAAAAAAAAAAAGAATATATCATTGTTATTATTAATATTATTGATTATTATATTTAATTATTGTTTTTATTACCATTTATTATAATCTTTTATTATTATTATTATTATTATTATTATTATTGTTATTATTATTATTATTACTAAAAGTATAATTTGGAGAATACCAGTCAGATTCTTTCTTTTTTTCATATTGGTTATCTTTCTCATATAAATCATAATCTTTAGTTGTTTGAGATTTACCAAAATCATCTTCGTTATAACTACTGTAATAGTTTTCTTTATATTTACTGTTATTATTACTATTATTATTATTATTACTATTACTATTATTGTTATTACTATTATTATTATTGTTATTATTGTTGATATTGTTGTTGTTGTTACTTCCATAATTACTATTGTTTGTATTATTACCATTAGAATATCTTTCCCTTGAACGATCTCTTGATCTTGTACGATCTCTTTCTCTTGAACGATCCCTTGATCTAGTACGCTCTCTTGATAAATCTCTATCATCAAAATCTCTATCTCTTGAACGATCTCTATCACTATAATCTGATCTATTATCAATCATTCTTTCTTTTGAACGATCTCTATCAAATCCTCCAACTACTCCACTATCTCTATACGATAATTTTTTGTCTGGCCCATAACCATTTAAAACTCCTCTTTGATCCCTTGACTCATATCCGTCCCAGAGTGGTGGAGGGTGATGAATATCTGGATAACCTGAATATGGTGGATATGCATGATGAGGTGGTGGTGGATGATGATGGCCTCTATATTGTGGTGGTGGTGGTGGTGGATAGAAATGGTGTGGGGGTGGTGGATATCTTCCATAAAAATCATCATAGGCATTACGAGAATCAATATGATGGAATGGTTGTGACTGTGGATATGGTGGAACTCTTTTTCCATTCATACCTCCTCTATTATCGAATCTCTTCTTTGTGAACTCTTCAGGGTGGCAACCTTTACATTTACAAATTCTACAACCACCCTCTGGTAAAACACCTAATCTTACACCACTTGGGACTTGGCACAGACATGCTTTATCATTTTCAGAGAATGCCTTCATACATGGTCTACAACACCCATTTTTTAATTCATCAACACCACCATTACCATTGCTACTTTTACCACTACTACTAATATCACTGTTGTCTCTATTGTTTTTATTGGATATTATATAGCTACTAGATGATTTTGTCTCCAACACATCAGTTGGATGACAACCCACACAGCCACAAGTAATGCACCCACTTTCACCTAAAACACCTCTTCTATGAGTTGATGGAACTTGACACAAACAAGCTCTACCATTTGGTCTATTATCTTTTGAACATTTATCACAACATTGAGTTTTTTGCTGACCGTGATTAAAATCTTTGTTTGTTGTAGTTGAAGAAGAGTATGAAGAGTCGGGTGATCCATCTCTAGTTCTATCTGGTCTTTGTGGTATTCTATTAGCAAATCTTTGATTATATTCACTATCAATTTCATAGGTTTGTTCATCAAATTCATAAATTTCTTCATCAGATGATTTATTGTTACTATTGCTATTGATATTATTATTTAATTGTGATCTTCTTTTACCACCACTATTATTTTTATCATTATCCTCATCATTATCAGTTTTCGTTTTATTTGATTTCTTTCTTTTCAATTGATCATCTTCATTGTTTCGTTTATCTTCCTCTTCTTCACTACTATAGTCACTTTCATAACTGCTACTATCACTTTCGTTGTTTTTATTTTTATTCTTTCTTTTCTTTTTTTTATTATTGTTATTACATTGGCACATATCGCAACATTTTCTTCTTTTTTCGGATCTGGTAGTATCTTGTTGCTCTCTGCTATTATCATTATTATTATTACTATTATCTAATTTATTTATTTCGTCATATTGATTATTCTCTAATTTATCTATTTGTTCTTCAGTTGGCCCACAATAACAACCACCACTTTTTTTTTTTTCTTTTTCCATATTAAAATTACAATGAATTATGTTTATTTTTATTTAATTTTTTATTATATATTTGTGGAGGAAATTTTTGTGGATGTGGGGAATGACGATATAACAGAAGGATGTGTTTAGGGGAAAAAATAATTTTTAAAAAAAATATTGAATTGGTCGTTTTTTTGAAAAAAAAAAAAAAAAAAAAAAAAAAAAAAATTAAATTAAATAAATTAAAATTAAATAAAATAAAATAAAATAGTAAAAAAAAATAAAAAGTTAAAATACAAGAAAACAGTTATAGCCTATTTCATTTTAATACATTAAAATCGGATCTTTTAAAAAAAACAAATTTGGTGGTATAAAATTTTTTTTTTTGATTTTTAACTTTAAAAAAAACTTTAATAAAAATTTTTATGTGCGTTATTATAAAATTTAAATATTTATTTTTCTTAACAAATAGGAATCTACCGAAAAAATAATATAAAATAAAATCCAATTAATTTGGTATTAAAAAAAAAAGAAAAAAAAAAGTGAAAAAAAATAAAAAGAAAAAAAAAAGCTTTTTTGTTTGTGAAAAATTCGCAAAAATAATAATTTCAAAAAGCTTCATTTGATTTTCACTTACAACAATGAATTCAGCTCAACATATTCATAAAGCTGCTAACCATAGTAAAATAAACAATCAAACAGCAGAAACAATAACATTAATAAAAAGAGTGACAATTAAAAATTTTGACCAAGAAATAATAAATTTTGAAAATGATTTAAAGGAAGCAACCTTCATTTCAATAGATACAGAATTCACAGGTTTGGGATACCAAAAAGGTTTAAAACAAGAGTATGGAATTTTATAAATTATTCATAAACTTTAATATATGTTATTAATTTAATTTTTCTTTT